GATTTTTGAAACAGTAAAGTTAAGGGTCGGCAAATAATATTCCTCATCTCTTTTAACACTATAGGTAAGATGCCACAGTTATAAGTAGTTTAACTGAAGTTCTTCATATATACACAGAATGCACTCAGGATTTGGAAATAATGCCAGTGGCACTTCCTCATCACTGATGGCAGGCCGGTGTCCCTCCAGCCTAAGGGGAGGCAGCACCACCTTGTCTGCCCTATACATGCAGAACAGTTTGGGAGCAATTGTGAAAAAGGGGAATTCATTCTTCGTTTGTTTCTATGTGTGAATCTTTTTTTTGTGAGGAACACTGGACATTTCAAGGGTATCATGAGGTCTGATACAGCAAGAAGCCACGTCTGGACTGGACAGCTGGCTACATGCAGAAAGTGAAGGGAAAGAAAGCCTCTGTCAGTCTGTCTCTCTATCTGTCTGAGTGACGGACTCACTGCTGACTCACATACAGTATAGTCTCAGCATCTCTAGCATGAGAAAATACATAATGACTGAGGGCGTGACAGTTAAAAGTCGTCACACTCCTGCAGTATCTCAATGCCCTTAAATGTATGTATCCATCACTCATGGTCCATTTTAGTAAACATATTTTTGAAAAAGATGACATATGACCCAAGTTGATAGTTCAGAATTACAGGAAAAATACAGCTAAAGACAATACTTGGAGGAAACGTATCATAGAGATATAGGAGCCCTCATTAAAGGGAAGGAATAGAGAATGAAATGACACTTTTCGTTTATACCACAAGTAAAAAAATATTTCTTGTAAAGGGAGATGGGCAATATTTCATTATGGAAATGTATGTATTTCACAGAAATATGCTTTTGATGACAAAATATTAAAAATATGGCTGGACAATTAATCAAATTTAAATTTCGGTTACGATTTTGGCTTCCAACAGTTATCAAAACAAAATTACGATTACTGTGCCACATGTTACTTCTCAGTGGTGCCACTGTCTTGTCTTGTGTTATAAATCCAGCACCCCCCCCCCCCTCCAGGCCCCTTCTATTTGTTTCTCAGTATTACATTTAGAGATCAAGAAAATCAACTGTTAAAAAGACAATTTCAAAAAATACATATTTCCAAAGTCAATGAGTAACCATGTTAAAAAAATCTCAGTTATCCACCAGATTAATTGTGATAATGATTTTTGCCATAACTGAACAGCCTGACTGATACATACAGCCAACACCCAACTTCTAATGATACATACAGCCCAACACCCAACTTCTAATGATACATACAGCCAACACCCAACTTCTAATGATACATACAGCCAACACCCAACTTCTAATGATACATACAGCCAACACCCAACTTCTAATTGAATCAGCATAATACATAAGGCAGTCGCACACACTGGACATGATGACAGTGCAGTACAGGGCACACATGCGTCTGGATGTGTTGGGAAGTGTTTAGCATTTCATTCTATTCATTTATTTACTACTGTATGAGCCTTTATCTAGTTCCTCTCATACTTGGTTCGCAATTTAGAAGCACAACAGGTTCACATGAAACGTGTTCATCCTAAGCCAGTAAAGCAAGAAGAAACAACTGTCGACATGGTTAATTAAGAACAGGAAAAGCTACATGCATTTCACGCTTTGGTAACATTAGAAATGTAGAAAGAACATGCAATACTCCTCAGATCTGTGAGTCAGTTTTGCACTTCGGCTGCCACCATGAACAAACATCTATTAGGTTCTTACAGTCAACACATGGTTCACATTGTAAGAGTTGTAAACAATTTAAGTTGTTTAACCTACACGGTACGCTGACAGTTATTGTCGATGGATTTCTGGTTGTAAAGTGTGTGTGTGTATATATATATTTTTAAGTTTTGATGTGTCATTTCAGCCTATAATTGCAGTGACCCTATGACATTGGCAAAGGGGCCTCAACCAATGAATACTGCAGAAAGAGTCACCGTCCTCAAAGGGGAGGTCGGGGTGTGAGTTTCCACGGTGTGTGAATTCTGGGGTGTATTTGAGCATACAGTATATTGTATATTTAGTAAGTTGTATTGTCTACTTTGCAACTGTGGCATTACCTTTTTGATACTGCAGCCAGAGCTGCTGCTGGACCTTCTTGCTGGGAAAGTAAATGGTGCAGGTGAGGTCAGAGCCATAGAGCGCTTCGGACACGTAGTGAGTGCCGTACTGCTCGATGAAGGACAGCAACTCCTCTCTTGTGCTCTCAGAGTTCAGCATCTTCAAGACCTTGGAAAAACCTGGCATACAGATTGTCAGAAGAAGTTTCAAATTAAGTGTAATGCACTCTGCACGATAGATGATCTTCGTCATAATAAAAATGATTCGAATAGTCTCGTTTAAGACACGGACATTTGGAATAAACTAATGTAACTGATGCACCTTCCTTAACCCCCCTGAAAAAGTTATTACGGTGCTCTTCCCCCTGGGCTGTAAGTACAGCCTTCTCCATGGGTAAGGGACTTAACGTTTTATTGCATTATACCTGCAGACAGTGTGATGGAACTAAGCTTCACTTTGTATAAGTTGCTCCGTACTCTCCACTGTTGCACCATGGGATAGCCCAAGGCTTCATTGAATTTGGCATCTCCTGCCAAAAAGAAAAAAAATGTGTTATTCTCTTTTATTGGCACAATTAACAGGCACCCTTTATTAAAATAGTTAAACATGTTAAAGTTTTACCCATTCACACCATAATGTTTAGCAAAATAAAATCAAGTTCAGAACTTTTCTGAAGGGTACAAGGATAGTTGTGTAAGGTGGGATCCAGTTTGCCTTTGACCTGCAGATCTATGCACTTCTATGCTACATTAATTAAATCACAATAGGTACGCTAGAGGCAGCCAGAAAGTAGACAGAGACTGGTATGTAAGCAGCTCACTCAGACGCAGACCCACCTGTGAGGAGGTGCAGGTTGGCCTGTGGCTCAGACAGCATGCCTCGACACTGCTCCTCCACAGGTAGGGGAATGACCATGAGGCCATCAGCCAGCTGGGGAAAGTCCTTGATATAGTTGTTATCCCTGAAATACACAGACCCAATAAGCTAGTCAGCAATGACCTCAATAACTTTTCAAGGACAAGACACAGGCACGGTACCGGATGACCTCCAACGACGTGCACGAGTGTAATGAAGTAGGGTCTGCTGGTTTGGACCAACACCACAGCTAAAAACGAAAATCTTAGAATCCTAGACACAGTGTCAACTGTTATGTCTGAATGGTCACTTGAGGAGTGACCTTTGCCAAAAGTGTTGGTTTCAGTCAGGGCTGAATGCAACAAAAGATGGAATGCTTCTTCATTAAAGTTTAAGAGTGCCTCAAGCTTTGTGAGCTTGACCAGGAAACCAGAAAACAGTAGGCACTCTTCTCACCCTCCGGGCTGAGCGGACCTCGGAAAGGAGATAAATTACAGTGTCAGTTTGGGCTTTTCTACTGTCTAACTTCAGCCCATTCATTTCAGACCCTCAGCAATTATGATGAAGGATGAGAGCAACGAGACAATGGGGCATTATTTATAACCTGTGTATATAAAAAAAAAAACTGCTCCGCATGCTCAGAAATTCTCCCTGGTAGGTGATGGACAACAAACCAATTCAACTGGTTACTTTGGATATAGCCAAAATAAAATAAAGAAATATATGTTTCTTCATATTTATTATAGTCTCAAAGTGTACTTATTAAACATGCTGCTACCCTCTTCTGAGAGGTTCTACAACTATAAAATTACTCTGTCACAGACCTACATTTGTGGATTCTATGAAAACAGAAATTGTGTAGCTGGTTATCATGCAGTCTTGTTATTCCAAGGTCACTAGTCCCAGGATGATTTTGTTTTGTGTAATATTTCATTTTAAATTTACAGACATGAATCCAAACATATTTATATTCCTGCAACTTATGCCTGCAGTATACAAAGGCTCACTGTTCTAACTGATTACATATCCATTTTAACAGTTTATCAGTTGTGCAATAAAACAATAAGAGCAGAACACCATGCAGCTTAGTGGCTATCAGGGGGAGAGAAAATAAGCTGATACAAATATAAGGAAAAATGTCATACGTATTAGACCAAAACCAGAGTTACAGTATGTAGATGTTGCATTATGGGCACTGAATAGGTTAGTCTGGGACAAAGAGAAATTGACACTGATCAATTATCGATTAACAAAGAAAATGGTGTGAAAAAAAAACATTGTAACAAATGAAGAAGTAGCCAGATTAGTCTTCCCTCTCTCTGCCCATCTATGAGGATGAAAAACCCATATAGGAAAGGCTAAGTATGGCTAAGTCACTGGAAAGGAAGGGGGCTATCAAGGGGAGAGGACAGCACTGCAAAGGTGCTACTGTAAGGCACACGGAAAAATGTATTGATTTCCAAATGTAGTACAGGGACACAGCTCTGAATGGTCTGAGCTTTGGATATAAATGATTATGATTTTTCAGCAAGACTTTGTCCTTGTCACCTCTATTCTGTTTATTTTAAGTAACTTGTTTATTTCAGTGAATAAACTATTAAACAGCCAGGCATTATGACATGGGTCATCCTTTAATTACAGCTCAACTTTGCAGATAAAGACCATTAAGCTCTTGATTGAGTAATATTACACAGAGTTGTTTAACTGTAGATCTCAGTCGCCCTGAGTATCACTGACCTGGATCAATGCTTCACTTCCTTAGAATTTCTTTTAATCACTTTTTCTTTTACTCCAGCTTTTGGGAAATTTCCCTAAAGATAAGATCATTTAAAATAAATCACAAGATGTACTCTTTAAGCAGGACCTATGTTAACCCAAATTAGATGAACTTTGTGATGAAGTCGCATTACCTACTAATGTAAAATTCATTAAAATTAAAATAAGGCAGAGAGTAATTAATGAGGCTGAGGGTGCAGTCACTTGCCTACTATACCCATTTTACAACAGCAAGAAAAACCAAAAGCTACCACTAGATCACAAAAAACAATGACAACAAACAACAACAATAACAATTAACAATAATAATAATAATAATAATAAGATGAAGAATTTGCCTAATATAACAAATGTACCAATCAACCACAAATGATAAGTAAAGCTAGGATTTGCTAAGAGTTTTGGCTCAGCAAAAAATCAATCAACCAATATCAAATCACACCGAGGGTTAAGTCCTCTGCAGAGTAGAAATAAGAAGAGTTCACTATACATTCATGAAATAATCAAGCACTCTAAGCAAAGTCTGGCAAACCTGCTTTAGCCATCTCCAGTGCACTGGCCTGTTAGGATGTCCTACTTAGAAAAGAAGGACAGTAAATCGGTCTTCATGCATTGACTGTAAAGGCAGAGGTGTGAAACTGGTATTATTACCAAGTGCTCTTCAAAGAATAAAGATTGAAGAGAGCTGGGAGGGGCTATTGAAACAAGCATTTACATCCAATTATTACATCCAATATTCCAGCCTTTTACATCCTCTAAAGTGAAGTGCTTTCAGTTTTTTATTAAACAGCTGCAATTTCTTGCCATTTTGGCAGTGCATTAGATGCATTATTTGGGTCACTTGGATAACAAAGTAAATAAGGAAATAAAAGGAAAAGAGCTAATACATTTTTAAACATTACATAGGAAGAAAGCGTATGCTTCCTCCTGCCACCAGATGTCAGTGTGTTATACAATTTCTTCCATTTTTTAATGAGCTAGTGATTTACACATTTAACTGAATTCTAAATGTTTTCTTATTGTAAACAGATATTGATAAATCTTTGGTTGATTGGTATGTTGTGTGTGAAAATAAAAGGAAGTCCAGTCGCAGATCAAGTACGATAGAATCAGGGCATTAGCGTGCCACCTAACTATGTAAAATAGGATAAATGATACATATAAATGCAACGGCCTCTGTAAGGTGTTGGATAAATGTATATTTAAAATATTTTTTCCTTTGTGTCTGCAGTCACAAAATAAAATGATTAATGCATATATTTTGTAAAGCCCAATTTCTTAATAATTGCTCTTTTGAGATAATTTTTGCACGCATAGCTCTTTTTTATGCATTATATATAGCATTGGCTGAAAATAAATATTGCTGAATAGTTATAATTTCTTATTTTCACAGCAAGGTGATGCAACTGTGAGTTTAAGCAAAAATGTATCTGCGGGAAAATCAGCCTGGCACAGCGACAAAAAAAAAATCACACACAAGAAAGTTGTGAAAGAGCGTCTGTACCAAATTGTGGGCGTGTCCTCTTTTCATGGTGGTGGGAGGGTGGGGTTGCCAGACAGGGAGATGAAAACATGCTGCGTCGTTCGGGATGGCGCGCACAGAATGCTATTCTCACAGCAGAAGTTCGGGCCAGAACTGATTCCAAACCAGGCTTAAAAACGCACTCATGCACATATAAGCTATGGGACAGCAGGACAAATCCGGTGGGCAAAGAAAAAAAAAACATGCAAATCCATACACCTGACCCACCCTCCTGGGACCAACAGACAATGGCTGTGAATTTTAACAACTTAGCAACAAACTTTCTGTATTGTGCCAAAGGGCTTATCACACAGCAAGGCAGATTTACCTGAACTAAAACTCATTAGACTGAAAATAATTACAGTTACCAGCAGATTAATGAAGCTGTACACAGGGAACACACCCCCTTTCCTGCTGTGCATAGCTTACAATGTTTAATTTGAAATACAACTTAATTTATCTAGCAAGGATTGAAATAATCAATGATCTATAATTAATATTCAGTAGGTATTAACACAGATGACTGATAAGTAACATGTAAGAACATAGGATGTTGGAAGTCAGTGTAGTTCCTCATTTTTGTACACATCTTCAACATATACTGCATATACAGCATGACACCCTGATGGTGTAATACCCCAGTTAAACAACAGAGAGCGCTGCTGCTCCAGCTCTGGTAACACTGCACTGCACTGATGATTTCTGTATAGATGGTAATAAAAGTATGTGGGTTGACCAAACATTGCTGAAATTTTAATTATGTGGAAACATAAATTTTCTTAAAAAATGAACCAGCGTGAGAATATTTTAACTGTATTTCGACTTATAAAGATAGCGCGAACATTAAAATTTACTGTTGCATGAACTTGCAATGTTTTTTCAATTTCAGTTAAATTTATTTATAGAGCCTTGTGATTAATACAAGTGACAAGCTATATAATTTATTTGAATTCACTACAATATCCATCCACCCATCCATCCATCCATCCATCTTCTATAACTGCTTGTCCTATTCAGGGTCATGGGGGGTCTGGAGCCTATCCCAGACGCAAGGCAGGGAACAACTCAGGATGGGGTGCCAATCTTAATTCACAACTATATTATTATTATTATGCTGATGTTTTAGAACATGTATACCGGTCTGCTAGGGAGGTGCGTCTCCGTCACTGAGCCGATGCGGTACACCTCCATGCACTGCCAATGATCAGATACATTACAGATAGATATGAAGCAACTACTATTGCAATACACTACAATTCACCCCTATTGTGATGCACTATGACCCAACATGGTATGAAGTGGCGCATTACCAGACATGCCTCCAACCTGCGCGAGACTCGACTGAGAGAGTTATAGAGAACTGGCCACTGGCAGCAGTGGTGAACCCAGGTGTTTCTCAGTATGAGTACTTGAATGTACTTGTCTTCTCTTTTTTACCCTGTTTTAGATTGTCTTCCATTGCCAAACACCAGTTCCAGTACTCAAGAACAGAAGTACAGAGAACAGTAAAAATCCCCAGATGTCATTCTTACCCTGTCCAAAATACAAAGGATACATTGGTTGCATCCTCGCCAAACAAGACCAATCCCATTATACACTCACCCCAAGTTCATTCTTGGGGGGCAAGTTAGCAAGTCCGGTCTTGCCAAGACCACAGGAATGACCTTCCTGTTTTTGGTATTGAGAAACACCAGGAGATGAGAGATTGCGCTTAAGCTTCGTCCTGTGATAACTTTCTGTTGCTTATGTATTCTTAAATCAGCCATAAGATACCCTCAAAACAATTATTTATCATCCAATTTGTTTCT